GATCATGATTGATCCGTCACCAAATTTTACTGGTGGGATAGTATTCTTCAGAGAATATTAAATACCCTTCTTTTTGCTACAGCATTTCTGTCAAAAAGTTCAATTTTCGTTTCGTCTGACCAAAGTACATTTTCTCAATAATACTGCGGGTTTAATACAATGCTCGTTTACAAAATCCAGTCTTAGCAAGAACGTGTTTTCGCTTAAGAAGTGTTTTTCTTTTGCTTCCTTGGAATCCTCGAAAAGATGTCATATCAATGAAGTGAACGATTAATTGTATCCGCACTCATTTTTACTCCACTTACTTCTAGTCCTCCCTGAAGTTCTTTAAGCGTAACTCGGGGCTCATTGCCAACTTTTCCCGCCAATCATCTTGCCGTATGTTCTGTTAACTTTCTAGGACGACCCGAGGTTTTTGGGGGAACGAACGGAATGACACTCCCTCCAGTGACGAACTATCGTACCAACTGACCTTAATGGCACATTGAACTAACTAGATATCCTCCTATAACTAAAGTCCATTTATATGAAGGTAGCAATATGTTTATGGAGGTCTTGATCAATTATTTTGCTTTTCTCCATTTTGTCAATGTTTAGAGGATGGTTGACAGAAAAAAGAATGACGCAATACTTTTAATCATTCCTGAAAGCAATCATAAAATGAATCTGGAACGTTCGAAAAAGAAAACCCATCCTAATTTGGAACATTCTAGTAAACACTTTTATAAAAAAAAAAAAAAAAAAAAGGAAAAAAGCTGTTGCAAATAAAAAAATATGTTCTAAATCTTTCAGTTACAAAATGATTTTTTCGTGGGATATTTTTTTTGGGAGGTTTTTTAAAAAATTTGATTGTTTGAATCATACTTATTATAAAACCCAGGTTGTGTGTGTGTGTTCGTTTATATATTGGATCGGATTTCCTATATTTTTCAACCGATTTCAACAAAACTTCACAGGACTACGTAAAATTACCTTGCGGTGGTTCTGACAGTGCCCAAAATTGGAAAAACACAATTGTTTTTGCAAAAAAATCAATTTGAAAACACGATTAAGAGGCATCGCTGTTTCGAGAATGAAAGGGGGACAACTCATATGGCGTTTTACTTATAAAACCCAGGTTGTGTGTGTGTGTGTGTGTGTGTGTGTGTGTGTGTGTGTTCGTTTATATATGGGATCGGATTTCCTACATTTTTCAAACGATTTCAACAAAACTTCACTTTTTTTTTTGGCAGGTAGTGTTTCTTATTGTTTTGCACACTTTTTTCTTTATTTTTACATTCAGAATGCTTTAAAAATTCCATTTACAAGACAATTGTTTATAATAAAATTCTATTCAATCGATAGACTCATAACGATTGAAAACAATGTTTTTGTTTGAGTTTGGGTTTGACCAATTCGTAAAAAAACCCCCAAAAAAAAAAAAAAAAAAAAAACTAATTAAGACATGCATGTCCGTCAACCTTCAACAATAATCTTTGTCAATTTTATTTTTCAGTCTTTATGATGCTCGATACTTGATCTATCTCTTACTGTTACATCCCCGGGCAACACCGGGCACTACTGCTAGTATATATATATATATGTCCCACGAGCAGTAAAAGTTTCATTAATATAACTGTATTAGAAATATCTAAAAAACAATTTTTGTAATGTGTTGTAAATTTTTGCGTGTCACTGTATATGTGGAAATAGAGAGAGAGAGAGAGAGAGAGAGAGAGAGAGAGAGAGAGAGAGGGACAGACAGACAGACAGAGAAAGATATGAAAAGACAAAAGAAAATTAATAATTTTAGGAATTATGAAAGAATTTTTGCAAGCAAAATAATATAAAATTTGTTAAAGTACATAGCAAGTTCCAGGTGCGCTGAAGACGAATTTGATAATATACGAAGTTAGTATTTTGTTTTGACTATTCGTTATGTAATTTGAAGCCCGGAGAGCGTATCGACCGAAAACGTTTTTATCTTGGTACTCCCCCTTTTTATTACGAAAAAAAAAAAAGAAGAGATTATTTAGCGGCGCCCATGTCCTCTCTACGTTTTTTTTTTTTTTTTTGTTTTTTTGTGAAGAACACCAGGAAAGAACAACTGATTTAGCTGTAAGTCTTATCAAGGTCCTTATCAGTATATCCGATAACAAATCTAGTATTCAAGGATAGGGTGTGCGGTGTGGTGTCATAAGCCAATGAGAAATTGGAGAGCCGAGTTCGAATTCCAGTTATATTCACTTACGCGCAAATACTCTTCTGAATTGTATGAATCTATCACTACTCCCCAGCTACGGGTTAAATAACAGGACATATTGGTTCATATAGCCTTGGTTGGCAACCAGTCTATTGCAGAAAGAAATGATAACCTACTGGAAGAAAATTTCACTAGTTAGACACGATCACCCAAGCGTGTATCATGTATGGCACTTAACTGACTGATCCAGGGAGAAGTGGGTTTGCGCCTTTCCTCTATAGCAATTTGAACCCGTTTTGCTTATTTTCGTTCCCCGTGTTAATAACCACTACACCACCTTTCACCTGTATAATGATAGTAACAACATTATTAGGCATTAATTAACTTGGAAACAAGACTTTAGCTAAAAGGTGCGCGTCTATACGCCCACAATTTTCCACACTCTTTTACGCAATGTGTAATACGAGAAACACAAATCTTTCTTGGTTGTTATCCTGGAGCTATATAAGCAGCAAGCACTGATATCATTAGTTTTAAAACTATATCCGTTTTTTTTTTCTTTTTTTTTTTTATTGCTTTTGCAAACCAATTAATTGTCAGGAGTCCTAGCCATAGGCAAGACACATGAAGTGAGCCCAGACTGAAGTCTCGGGTGTTTGTTAAACCATTGCAATAGACAAATTAGTCGAGATCTGCTAGACGGAGTGGCACACTTAGTATTATCTAAGATTCCTAATTAAGCGGTAGTCTTATCTTTCGCCGCTAGACGATCGTAGCTGAAATATATAGCACGTTATTTGTCGGAGCGAGAAACGAAGGTCCGGATGTCCATGTCAGGAATCCAATTGAAGTGACGTAGACAAGCTGAGACTTCGTTACTTAAGCGCAAATCATTTCAATTCATATAGAGACTGCTATCGGCCAATTGGGTCATCAAATTGTTAGTACGTCTGTATGGTGTGACTTGCCACCTCCTGAGAACTTCTTTCTTTTCTTTTCGACCTTTCTTTCCAGGCTTTTCCCATGACTAACTCAACTGAGCTATCGTGTTTATGTTTTGGGTAAGCAACACATTATCTGTGAAAATAAAAAAAATAATAAGAAAAAAGAAGAAAGAAAGAATAAAAATAATAATAAAAAAAGAAGAATGGTAAATTAAGTCGGGAAAAAATGGGTAACTGCTTCGTATTTCTGAGCGACAAGGCAAAATAATGTTGGATCATCATTTTCAAAATCGCGACGACGGATTACGGACAGTGGCAAGAAACGAAACACAAAGGAAAGAAAGAGAATGTGTGTGTTCAGAGAGAGAGAGAGAGAGAGAGAGAGAGAAAAGAGAGAGAGAGAGAAAAGAGAGAGAGAGAGAAAAGAGAGAGAGAGAAAAGGATAGCGAGAAAGGGAAAGAGAAAAAGAGAGATAAAGGGAAAGAGAAAAAGAGAGAAAAAAAGAAAGTGAGAAGAAGAGAAAGAGAGCGAGTGAGAAGAAGAGAAGGAGAGAGAGAGTGAGAAGAAGAGAAGGAGAGAGAAAGAGAAAGCGAGAAAGGGAAAGAGAAAAAGAGAGAGAAAGAGAGAGAGAGAGTGAGACGAAGAGAAAGAGAGAGAAAGAAAGAGAAAGACAGAAAGAGAAAGCGAGAAAGAGAAACAGAAAAAGAGAAAAAATGAGAGAGAAAGAGAAAGAGAGAGAGAGAGAGAGTGAGAAGAAGAGAAAGAGAGAGAAAGCGTGAAGGAGAGAGAGAAAGAGAAAGCGAGAAAGCGAAAGAGTAAAAGAGAGAGAAAGACAGAGAAAAAGAAATCGAGAAAGGGAAGGAGAAAAAGAGAGATAAAGAGAAAGAGAGATAAAGAGAAAGAGAGAAAAAGAGAGAGAAAGTGTAAGAGAGAGAGTGAGAGTGAGAAGAAGAGAAAGAGAGAGAGTGAGAAGAAGAGAAAGAGGGAGAAAGAAAGAGAAAGCGAGAAAGAGAAAGAGAAAAAGAGAAAGAAAGAGAGAGAAAGAGAGAGTGAGAAGAAGAGAAAGATAGAGAAAGAGAGAGAAAGCGTGAAAGAGAGAGAAAGCGAGAAAGAGAAAGAGAAAAAGAGAGAGAGAGAAAAAGAGAGAGAAACAGAAAGAGAGAGAGAGTGAGAGGAGAAAGAGAAAGAAAGAGGAAGAGAAAAACAGAGAAAAAGAGAGAAAGAGAGAGAGAGAAAGAGAAAGAGAGGGAAAGAAAAGAAAACGATAGAAAAGAAAAAGAAAACAGAGAAAAAGAAAAGTTCTGTGAATGGTCAGTGTGTATGTGTTTGTGTGTGTATGTGTGAGAGAGAGAGAGAGGGGGAAAGTGAAAGAAGAAGAAGAAGAAGAGGAGCAAAGAACAAGAGAGAAAGAGAGAGAGAGAGAGAGGGGGAGAGGTAGAGAGAGAGAAGAAGACAATTGAAGAAGAAAAAGAAAACAAAGAAATGAAGAAAGACGAAAAACTGTATGGCCAGTGTGTGTGTGTATGTATGTGTGTTGTGTGAGAGAGAAAGTGAAAGTAAGAAAAAGAGGTAAAGCGATAGAGAGTGAGAGAGAAAGAGAGAGAGAGAGACAAAAAGAGAAAAGAAAAAGAAGAAAGGGAGTGTATAGAAGAAGAAAAAGTAAAATATAAATAATGGCGATTGGAGAAGAAGAGGAAGTGGAGGAGAACGAATGATAGCATAAAAGAAGAAGAAGAAGAAGAAGAGGAAGAAGAAGAAGAAGAGGAAGAAGAAAAGAAGTGGAAGACGACGACGAAGACGAAGAAAAAGACAAAGAGGAAGACGAAGAAGACGACGACGACGAAGACGACGACGAAGAGGAAAAAAACGAAGAATTAGACGAAAAAGAAGACGACGACGACGACAATGAAGAAGAAGAAGAAGAAGAAGAGGGAGAAGAAGAAGATTAAGACGACGAAGAAGAAGGCGCAGAAGAAGAAGAAGATGAAGACGGGGAAGAAGAAGAAGACGAAGAAGAAGACGAAGAAGAAGAAGTAGACGAAAAAGGAGACGACGACGACGACGACGAAGAAGAAGAAGAAGAAGAAGAAGAGAAGAAGAAGAAGAAGAAGAAATTTGCTTTTGAGAAAGAGGAGAGACGTTAAAGAAAGACTAATACTAAGAGAAAGAAAGACAGAAGCAGTGGAAGATCGATTGTAAGGAGATAAAAAATGTGAGAAAAAGAAAAAAAACGAAAGAAAGATTGAATGGTTTACGAAGAAGAAGAGAAAGGGGAGACGGCAAAGAAAGAAAGAAAGAAATAAAGAAAGAAATAAAGAAAACGGAATAAACTGAATTAAAAGAATTGAGAGAGTAGAAAGGGGGGCGTGTTGAAAGAAAGAAGAAAATAGATAGAGACATGAGAGAGAGAGAGAGAGAGAGAGTCAGTGAGAGAGAGATAGATAGATAGATAGATAGATAGATAGATAGATAGGGAGAGTCAGTGAAAGAAAGAAAAATAGAAAGAAAGGAAGAACGATAGGAAAAGAAAGAAAGAGAGTAACTGAAAACGTGAGGGAAAAGAGATACAGAAAGAGACATATAGAAGAATAGGGCAGAGGATCGATTTTGAAACTATGGCACCGCACTCAATTTACAAGTTTGGCTTTAAAATGATGACATAAAAAAATATTTTTTCAAAATTGTTACCGTTTTTTGCGGAAATGATTTTTAAAAAAAGGATTTGGAAAAGGATATTTTGTTTCATTATCATTTGAACCCGCAACATTCAAATCGAGAGCAATACCACGGTTCTATAATCAACCTCTTCCCTAATGTCCAATAGACACAAAGGGGTTTTTAAAATTGCTTTTAAAACCGCTTAAAATGTACGTCTTTAGAAGCCATCAGTCATTAGTTTCAGTTTCAGGATAAATATGATTATCAAATGTTGGAATAAAATAGTTTAACAAATTCAACCAATTTGTAAGGCATAAGACTGACTAACATATTTGGGTCCTACTAAATCAAAAGACATTATTCCTCCGCACACACAGAGGAATATATGCTAAAAAGAAAAGATTTTGGTTTAATTCTCAAAAAGCCTTGTCACTAAATTAAAGTGGTAATAAGGAAATTCCAACGGCATGGTTTCGAACCTAGACTAAAAAGTGGTATTGCTCTCGATTTGAAAGTTGGGGGTTCAAATGATAATGAAACAAAATATCCTTTTACAAATCCTTACCGTTTTTAGAGGAAAAAAAAGTTTAAAATAATAATTTTAAGTTTAAAATCGTAACATTGGAATTTCATTCTGGAGATCAAGGAAAACCTTATATCACAGCCTTATAAAATTTATAATTTAATAAAGCTTTACATATTCTATATGGACAAGATTCATGGCACAAGCAGATTATTACTAAATCTTTCTGCCATTCAATAACAACATCAAAAGAAATTTATATTAAACAATTTAGCTATATTATGATGTAATATGTTATACAGTGCTGTAGTTTTTGTGTGATTTTCGATAAACAATGCAAATTTAAAACATTTTGTCTTATAATTTGTACCCAGCAATATTATATACATATTTATATATTTTTTATTAATTATGATCTAACAAACCTTATTTATTGAGTAGCATTGTTTGCAATCTTTTATAAATATATATATATATATATATATATATATATATATATATATATATATATATATATATATATATATATATATATGTATGTATATATATATATAAAGGATGTTCCAATAATTTGGAGCGATTTTAAATGTGAATTAAATTTAAGCGTCTAATGATTTCTTCTTTTTCTTTCAACTACCATGGAAAGATTAACAATCAAACAATTTTTTAAAGTTTCAAGAGTGCAAATGGAAAAATTGTTTGTAAATTCAAACAAACTTGGTCGGTGGCAGATGTGAAAACACCATTGCATGGATAAGATGCATAGCACAAGGACATTATTACTAAATCATTTTACCATCAAATAAGACCTTCATTTACTTCAAAGTGAAATTTTATTGAACAAATTAGTTATATTATGTTGTAATATATTATGCAATGCAGTAGTTTTAGTCTGATTTTCAATACAATGAAAATTTAAAACATTTTATAATTTCTACTCAGCAGTACTATGATGTTATTTACACTTTTATCAATTTTTGTTTTATTATCTTTTAACAAATAATCTAACACATCTGATTCATCCATTTTGTAATCTTTTAGAATTTTTTTTTACAATTATTATTTATCGAATACAGTAAATAAATTGTACATTTTGCTTGTAGTGATTCATAATTAGAATTCTGGTTTGAATATATTTTTCATTCAATGTATCTAATACAAAAAAATATCAACTTTATTTGGATTTATTCTTGAAATAGTAAAATTTTGAAGTCCGTTTGTAAGCAAAAAAACTGTGGGAATTAAGTATTTCTGTACATGTCTCAGATGATATTTAAAACTAAATGCTCAAAACTTACTGAGAGTTATGAATCTAATTTTTAGTTATAAAACTTATCGTATCAATCTCCAGGTTTTACATTGAGTGCAATGATGATTTTCTAAGTAAAATAAAATATCAGCTTGCCCTAATACGAGAACTGATATTACATCAACGTTCAGTAGCTTTTTTTTTCTACTGAAATTTTCCCGTTTCTTAATAGTTTGCTTAGCTTTTGGAAGACATCTTTCTCTATTCAAACACGTCTTCGGGTTTCTGTATGATATTTTCTGACAGGAGTTAAAAAAGGGCTTTCCAGATATTTAGATTTAAGTGATTTTTTGGTGCGGTCTCAGACTTTCAGCTCAGAATAAAATACCAGGACGCAGCCAATGAAATTTTGTCTACCAAAATGGAGCACAAGTTTCGTTATAATGACTGAGGTTGCCGGAATTGCTTGAACAAAAACAACAGAACAAACTGCCCAGTCTTCAAATTCCAGTCTAGATAGAATCCCAAATCGCCTCCTCGCCCTTGTGGGTGATGAATTATTTTCTATCCTGAAATCTCTTTTTTTTTTCACAGACGAAATGTCGCAAGGCTCTTGCTGTTTATCGCTATTTCCATGGAAAGTCTTCAGCTGAACTCCATTCCTTAGTTCCACCAGTTCTAACCTTGATGGCTAAGACCCGCCCTGCCACGCCCATTGCAGCGAACTACCCTCATTGCCTCCGTATTTCATTGGGGAGATGTAAGTTCCACTTGAACAACTTCTTCCCACGAAAGATTGCTTTGTGGAGCCGACTCCTAAGAGGATGTTTTCCCGATCTCTACAGTCTTAACCTCTTCAGGTCTAGGTTTAATCGTCGTCGTTCCCACATATACACATAAACTGTGCTTCTTACTCTGTAACCCTCTACCTCGAGTGGCTTTTGGGCCTTGTACAGAGTGAAAAATATTGTAAAAAAAAAAAAAGAAAATTTTATCCATAATTTCGATCCTGATATACAACATCTTATTCGAAAATTATAAAAATGTTTCTGTGTGTCTCTGAGTGTGAATCTGTGTGTGTATGTCTGTATGTGTGCGTCTGTGTGTGCGTCTGTATGTGTGCGTCTGTGTGTGCGTCTGTGTGTGTATAGCAAGAGAGACTGACAGAGAGAAACTGAGGACGAGACAAATCTTAGAAAGTACATAAACAGAGAGGTAGAGAGAGTAAAAAAATGAGTGAGAAATAAGACAGAGAGAGATAGAGAGAGAGAGATAGAGAGAGGAAGAGAGAGAGAAGGGAAATGTAGAGACTCTAAAGAGAGTGGGCAGAGAAAATAAAGCAAGAAACAAAGATAGAGAGGGAAAATGGAAACGAGAGAGTGAAAAACATGAGATAGAGAGAGAGAGAGAGAGAGAGAGAGAGAGAGAGAGAGAGAGAGAGAAAGAAAGAAAGAAAGAAAGAAAGAAAGAAAGATAGAGAAAATAAAGGAAAAGAGAGAACGTGATTTAGAAGGTGAGAAAAACCAAGAGAGAAATGAGGAGAGAAAAAGATAGGGTGAGATAGAGAGAAATGGAAACTTAAAAGAAAAAGAGACTTTTAGCATTATTCGGACTGTTGTCCTCGTTTTTATTGCCATATTTACAACGTTTCGGCCGTTGTACGCTCCAACCTTCTTCAGAAATTCTCTATATTTCTGAGATGAGTTATTGTAACTATTTACATTATTCGGACTGTTGTCGTCATTTTTATTACCATATTTCCGACGATATGATCGCTGTACCTCCGGCCTTCTTCAGGTGTTTGGAATTTTGAACTGACCCATTTATTTCGTCCATCGGGGTAGTTGCTTCTAGTTTCACATGCCATGCCTCTTTCTGATGTCTCAGTTATCTAAACTCTCCAATTTTTTCAGTAGTCAGTTATTGATCTTACCAACGCATTTATCCACTAGGCCATCTGTCCTCAAGGCCGAGAAGAATTTAAATAATGTAAATATTTACAATACCTCATCTCAGAAATATAGACAGATCCTGAAGAAGGTTGTAGCATATAATGGCTGAAAGTTCGTGAATATGACAATAAAGATGAGAAAAGAAGTCCGAACAATTTAAAAAAAGTGTAAATAATTACAATACCTCATGTCAGAAATATAGACAGCTCCTGAAGAAGGCAGAAGCGTACAACGGCGGAAACGTCGTGAATATAGTAATAAAGATGTGGACAACAGTCCGAATAGTGTAAATAATGTAAATAGTTACAATACTTCATCTCAGAAATATAGGCAGCTCCTGAAGAAGGCAGGAGCGTACAACGGCCGAAACGTCGTGAATATGGCAATAAAGATGTGGACAACAGTCCGAATAGTGTAAATAATGTAAATAGTTACAATACTTCATCTCAGAAATATAGGCAGCTCCTGAAGAAGGCAGGAGCGTACAACGGCCGAAACGTCCTGGATATGGAAATAAAGATGTGGACAACAGTCCGAATAGTGTAAATAGTTACAATACTTCATCTCAGAAATATAGACAGATATTAACGAAAAGAGACGTTGTCAGAGAGAACCTAGTTGAGTGAAATTAGGAGAGAAATAGAGTGAGAGAACAATAAAGACAGAGAGAGAAACGAAGAGAGAAAATGATATATACATAGAGAGAGGGGGAAGAGAGAGAGAGAGAGATCGAGTTGAAGACAGAGAAAATGGAGATGTCGAGAGAAGGAGCCCGAGAGAGAGAATTTAAAAGATTAAAAGGAGAGAGAGAGAAAGAGAGAGAGAGAGAGAGAGAGAGAGATTACAAATAAAAAACAAAGAGAGAAAATTAGATATTATGGAAAATCGATTTAGAAGGAAAAAAGATAGAAAGAGAGATAGAATGGCAGAAAGAGAGAAGAATGATTTTTTATGGTTAGATAAAGAAATGTTAGATAATAGTTTCAGACTATTATTTTTTAGTGGCAGTGTATTTTGCTCAGACCTTTACGGTCAGATGGCAGACAAAATAGGGATGCCGATTCTGATTGGCTGATCCAAAGATGGTTTTGGTTTGGTTTGGTCTATTTTGTTTGACGGCATATAAACACCTCAATCGGTTATTTAATTCCGACAACATTTTAAGGATAGATTCGTATGAATAGAATATATATTCTTTGGTTTAGATTGGTTTAGTTTATTTTGTTTTACGGCATATCAATCTCAATGGGTTATTTAATGCCGACAACATTTTTAGGATAGGTTCGTATGAATAGAATATGTATTCATTGGTTTAGATTGGTTTGGTTTATTTTGTTTTACGGCATATCAACCACAATGGGTTATTTAATGCCGTCAAAATTTTTATTGCTGGTAATATTTTGTTTTGTCAAAAACCTGTTTTTGGTAATATATTTCCTTCAAAATTGTACTGCTGTTAATAATTTTTTCAAAAAGTATTGCTGGTAATAGTTAACTATTTGCCCATAGCTGGGACCCTAACAGGTGCTACAACCCTGGGTCAGGGTGCACCTGGGAACACCAGCAATTAAGAGGTGGTTCCACACATCTCAAAATCTCCTGATCAGAGGCTTTGCTGCTGGACGTAGTTTAACGTCTTACCCAGGACGACCAAACTTGGTAATTTTAGAGAGAGAGAGAAAGTTATTTTGTGGAGTTAAGTTTTACGAGTCGAAGAATGCAGACGTCTTAATTTCGTATCTTGGGGAAATTGCTCCCCAGTGTGTGTGTGTATGGGGGATGGGGCGCTGGTAGAGTGACTCCAGTGGCTAGTTAAAAATGGAGACGTCGATGTGTTAATAAAAGAGATAAGTTTAAAAATCCCTTTTGTTGAAATTCTCGTATTATCTCCGAACTAAAAGAACGACTAGCGATCATCCGGGCGAGAGAAGAATGAGAAGAAGACAACATTATTATGATCGCCTCAAGACCGTCAACTAAAAGAACTCTCCAGAACGAAGAGGGGTACACAACAGAAAGAGAGAGAGAGAGAGAGAGAGAGAGAGAGAGAGAGAGAGCAAGCGAGAAGACCAACATGAATAGAAAGAGTGAGATGTTAAATAATAATTTCAGACTATTATTTTTTTAGTGGCAAGACATTATTATTATGATCGCCTCAAGACCGTCAACTAAAAGACCTCTCCAGAACGAAGAGGAGTACTGAAGAGAGAGAGAGAGAGAGAGAGAGAGAGAGAGGAGAGGGGAGAGGGGGAGAGAGAGAGGAGGGGGAGGGGGGGGAGAGAGAAGACCAACATGAATAGAGAGAGAGATATTATATAATAATTTCAGACTATTATTCTTTTAGTGGCAAGACAATAGTATTATGATCGCCTCAAGCCCGTCAACTAAAAGACCTCTCCAGAACGAAGAGGGGTATACAATAGAAGGAGAGGAAGAGAGAGAGAGAGAGAGAGACAGAAAGAGAGAGAGAGATGAACAAGGTGAATAGAGAGAGAGATAGAGAGAAAGAGAGAGAGAGAGAAGAATAGAAAGAAAAAGGGAGAGATAGAAAGGATATGATATATATAGAGTGACGAAAGATAATGAATGGGAGATAGACTAAGAGAAAAATAATGGGAGAGAGAGGGTTAGAAAGCGTAAGATAGTGTTTGTGTGTACGTGTTTGTGTGTGTGTATGTGTGTGTGTGTGTGTGTGTGTGTGTGAGAGAGAGAGAGAGAGAGAGAGAAATGCCAAGAAATGGAGATATATATATAGAGAAAGGAAAGTTAGAGAGAGAATAGGAGACATAGATATTGAGCGGACTAAGATAGATAGATAGATAGATAGATAGATAGATAGATAGATAGATATGAACAGACTGAGATAGATAGATAGAAAGATAGATAGATAGATAGATAGATAGGGAGAGAGAGTGAGAGAGAGAGAAAGTAAAATAATGAGATAGAAAGAAAGAAAACGTACGGGTTAGATAGATAGATAGTAAGAGAGAAAGAGAGAGAGATAGAAACTGCTTGAATGATAGGTCAATAAGTGTGTTTGAGTGTGCGCGTGAGAGAGAGAGATGGAGAGATATAACGACAAGTAGAGAGAAAGTGAGAGAAAGAGATAGAGAGAGGAGATAGAGAGAAGGGAGGGAAAGAAAAAGATTATGCGATATTGACAGGCAAAGAGATTTCTGTGCAAGAGAGAAGTTGTGTGCGTGAGATAGATAGATAGATAGATAGATAGATAGATAGATAGATAGATATTGAGCAAACTTAGATAGACAGATATAGAACAGACAGATAGATAGATAATGAATATACTGAGATAGATAGATAGATAGAAAGATAGAAAGAGAGAGAGGGTGAAAAAAAAGAGAGAGAGAGCGGAACGCTAATCGTGTTGGCTTTGTCATTTCTGGACAATATACTTAATGGATCCAATGTGACTTTGGTCGTAGGAGGGACAGGTGAGTGGTTGAGGGTTGCAGTCATCGTCAGGGAAAGGGTTAGCGTTTGGCGCACAGAATTCATTTCTGGTGGTTATCGCCCAATAAAAGCTCGAAACGGACTCTCACGTAACCAATGTAGCGTGCAAACGATTGGTGGACAAGAGAGTGAAGTTAGCGTGCAAAATATGGCCCCGGAGAAGGCTACGGCTTGTTTTCAGAATTTGGGTCGGGAATCTACAAGGAGACAGACATAGATAGATAGATAGATAGATAGATAGATAGATAGATAGATAAAAAGTGAGTGAGTGAGAGAGAGAGAGAGAGAGAGAGAGAGAGAGAGAGAGAGACTGTGTGTATGTGTCTGTGCATGTGTGAATATGTGTGTATGTAATACATAGATAGATGGATGGATAGATAGATAGAGATAAAGGATGAGATAGAGGAAGAGAGATAGAGACTGTGTTTGTGCGTGTGTGCGCGTAATAGATAGAAAAACTGTGGTAGATAGATAGATAGATAGATAGATAGATAGATAGAGAGAGAGTGAGAGAGAGTTTGTGCATGTTTGTGTGTAATAGATAGATAGATAGGAAGAGTGAAATGTGTTTATGCATCTATTTGTGCAAAAGATAGGTAGATAGAAAACACTTTGGTAGATAGAGAGATGATAGACACACACACACAGAGAGAGAGAGAGAGAGAGTGAGGGAGAGATAGATGATGAAAGATATAGACTGTGTGTGTGTGTCTGTGCGTGTGTGTGAATGCGTGTAATAGATAGATAGATAGATAGATAGATAGATAGATAGATAGATAGATAGATCTAACAGCTTCTTCACGCTAACCACTTCCCTGTGGAACCGACTCCCAAGAATATATTTCTCATTCAGTTGTTTATGGCTGTACGCGTTTACGCATCGAGTTTAGCGTTACTAACGATAATTTTATCATTCTCGTTTACTTTTTTAACTTATTGTTGTAGAGTAGTTTTCACAGTGGAGGCTGGTATTTCACTAAGTCGGTCCTAAAAAGGTTCGACGTACAAAACGTTAGGAACTTGAAATAATAGTTAATGATGCAGCAATCTAGTTGTGGTGGTTGATACTTTAATGTCCGACATCGACTGACTCACCAACTCACTGAGCTCACTGGCGACTGCTACTACTACTACTTATTATATGTGGGAGAGTCTATTAACAATAGAATAGGTATGTTCCGGTATAACACTTATTTAATTAGAAGATGGGATAAAAAGATAGAGGAAAAGAGGTTAGTCTATTCCAGTGTATATCACCTGAAGAAAGCCGAAGAGTACAACGAGCGAAATGTGAATATGACAATACAGATGAAAGCAACAGTCCAAACAATCTAAATATAGTCCGACGCTTCGTTAGAAATATCGGAATTTAAGTTCTAAAACAACTGATAGGAAAAAATCCCCTTGCAATAGATCTTAAAAGACTAGTCGAAGAGAGAAAAAAATGTTTAACGCTCAGCCAGAACGAATCAAGGACTCGTCGAGAAGTCCCAATTTAATTTTTAGGTCCTTCTGCCTACTCTAGAACCGTTGAGGTGGTATGAGGAGTGGGACTTTGATGATATAGAAAAACTGGTCCACCCTAAACGCAAAGACACAATTCTTACTATTTATAACATGTTCTACAATAGGAGAGCCAGAAGAATTAATTTGTTGATTTTCCTGGAATCCGGATTCAAAATCCTGGGGGGTAAGTATTGCTTTATTCTCAGATCCAAACTTTGAGACGTCCTCCCTATGTAGTCGAGTCCACAACTACACTTTTATATATAAATCACTGAATTAACATGATGCTTAGACATCCTTACGAATGGAAGGGAAAATAGGACAGGTAACAAATATTACCCGAACATTAGCCATTCAATGGCGGCACTCTCTAGAATTTTCCTTCTGATTGAGTTATTTTCTTTTTTTATAAGTGTAGCATTTTTAAAATCAAAATTGTGGTTGAATTTATTTCTATGTATGACTAGTGCATTAACTAAGTTATTTTTTGTGAGGTCTCTTTTGTACTCATAAATGCGTTTTTTTTTTTAAATTTCTACTTGTTTCTCCAATATATTGGGAGAGTGCCACCATTGAATATTACCCAAATATTAATCTACGCCCAGGCCTTTTCTCTATTTCACCTTTTTTTTAACAAAATTACTGCTCTCCAAAACAAACGTACACAAAATATCGTGAAATCAAAAGAAAATGATTGAATCCGTCAACACAGCAATAATAACAATATCTCCACACGTGACAGTAAATGACGTAATTTTCAGTTAACAGTATGAAAATAGCGTTGTCTAAATTCTTCCAGTTGCTAAGGACATTTTGTTTTTGTTATTATTAGTTACTTTGTTTAAATAAATTCATTTCGTTTTTTTTTTGCTTTGAAAAAGTTCACATTGGACGAAACGCGTCAGCAAATACTACAGTTTTCCTATTGTCATTTATATATATATATATATATATATATATATGTGTGTGTGTGTGTGTGCGTGCGTGTGTGTGTGCGTGTGTATTTAGGCAACAATCCTTCTTTCATGCATATTTTATTGAATAAGACAGACTTTTATTTAGTTTTTATACAATTTCTCATGCGACCTAATAATTTTTTTCTTTTCAGATGATAAATTATATAAAAATTGTCCGAATGTTCTTTTTATCCGAGCGCTTTCGGCTATACATTTAGCCATTTTCAAGGATTAAATATTTTAACTGTTAAATAAATAGTTTGTTGCATGCATGTTTTATAAAATGTTTTCATTTTTCAAAACACGGTCAAGATATTGTGTCCATGTTCAAAGTTAATATTATTAAGTGATGGTTTTTTGTTTTTGTTAATAAGGCTTCCATTATTTTTAGACCTTTTTTGCATGTAGATGATGCTATTATATTAGTTTTGTCAACAAATATGTTCCGAATTGTGTCCGGTAGGTCCCCATGAATATTTAAATGAGATCTAATTGAGCTATGGTCAGAATGATGTAGAGTGAGTCTGCGTGTCAAACATGTTGTAGTGTGGCCTATATAATTATTTACGAATTTTGATTGATTAGGAATACAATTCCTTAATGGGCATTTGAATTCGTAAATAATATTTGTCCTATTTAATTTTGTTCGAGGAGGTGAATTATTATTTTTAACTATTATTATCCTTTCAAGATTCCGTTCCACAATGCAACAGATTTGGGAAAGAAGCTGTGTGAGTGAAACTTCATCCTCACTAATGGAATATGAAGAAGATGATGAAGAGTCAACTTAGAGACATGTTAGTTCCTAGCTGTATAGGTCTGCATTGATGAAACCAAAGAAATTGGCATCACAAAGAATATAGGGCTAGGTAAAATACAACTACACTTCAAAGATTTCTTCAGCATAGCGAAATAATTACACAACTAATATTTAAACCATATTTCCCACAGGCTTGCATAGATAGATAGATAAATAGATAATAAACAGATAGATAGATAGATAGATATGAACAAACACAAAAATAGATAGATAATAAACAGACCAAGATAGATAGATAGATATGAACAAACACAGAAAAAGAAAAAAGAGGGCGTGTGAGAAGTAGAGACATATGATCAAACAGAGATAGATAGATAGACAGATACATAGATAAAATAGATGAGGAACAAGCTTAAATAGATAGATAGATAGATAGATAGATAGATAGATATGGACAAACATAGAAAGAGAGAGAAAGACAGAGTGAGTGAGAGAAAATAGATATGTTCAGAGATAGATAGAGAGATAGATAGATAGATAGATAGATAGAGAAGGAATAGGTTTAAATAGATTGAAAGATAAACAGATCTTACTTATTATAAAACGCAGATTGTGTGTGTGTGTGTGTGTCTGTACGTTTATATATTGGATCAGATTTCCTACATTTTTCAACCGATTTCAACAAAACTTCACAGGACTGCGTAAAATTACCTTGCGGTGGTTCTGACAGCGCCCAAAATAGGAAAAACACAATTTTTTTTGCACGAAATCAATTTGAAAACACGATAAAACACGATTCTGTCGCCGGAATGAAAGGGGGACAACTCATATCGAGTTATACTTATTATAAAACCCAGGTTCTTTGTGTGTGTTCGTTTATATATGGGATCGGATTTCCTACATTTTTCAACCGATTTCAACAAAACTTCACTGTTTTTGGCAGGTAGTGTTTCTTATTGTCTTGCACATTTTTTTCTTTTATTTTTACATTCAGAATGCTTTAAAAATTCCATTTACAAGACAATTGCTTATAATAAAATTCTATTCAATCGATAGACTCATAACGATTGAAAACAATGTTTTTGTTTGAGTTTGGGTTTGACCAATTCGTGAAAAAAAACAAAAAAAAAAACAAAAGAAAACAAAAAACTAATTAAGACATGCGTGTCCGTCAACCTTAAACAATAATCTTTGTCAATTTTATTTTTCAGTCTTTATGATGGTGGATACTTGATCTATCTCTTACTGTTACATCCCCGGGCTCTACTGCTAGTAGATAATAAACAATGCAAGATAGACAGATATGAACACAGAAAGAGAGAGAGAGAGAGAGAGAGAGAGAGAGAGAGAGAGAGAGAGAGAGAGAGAGAGAGAGAGAGTGTGTGTGTATGTGTGTGTGTGTGCGTGTATAGATATTCACAGACTAACATAAATTTTTTACGCACGTGCGCGCACACACACAAACACACGCGCACGCACACACACACACACACACACACACATATATATATATATATATATATATATATATATGGGGAGAGAGAGAAGGAATAAGACAGACAAACATGTATAAACAGAGTGAATTAGAAATATATAAGCATAGGTACCTCCGCTAATTCGGATTAAGCAAGGCTTTAAATGAATTTTAAAAATCAAAACCTTTTTAAACTTTCATTTTAGCTTTAATTGAAAGCTAAAGGATTTA